AGGTTGATCTGAATTCTATCAAAAAGAATTTCATCTGTGAGCAAACTATACAAGGGATGAGCTAAGAACATATCTTGTTTTAAATTTATTTTTTTCATTTTTAGTAACTAAGACCTAACCAAATTTTTTACTGATTTTTCAACTCAGTAACCAAAATAATTGCTTTTAATATATATATATTTTTATTTTGGTTGTATAATGGGAGACATCCTTTATTCCAGTTCATCCGCATGTCATGCACTCAAACTCAAGATCCCTTACTTTTAACGAAAAAAGATGACCATTGAATTATTTAAGTCGTTGACAATTAATTTTAATATTTTGATTATTGATTATAACTAAATCAACATTGAATGCCTATTTCAAGTCTAATAATGAATTCATGTAATCAAAATTTAAAATTTTTAAGGAATATAAATATAACAAATAGTCATCTTCTTTTACTAGAAGTAAAAGAGTTTGAATTTCACTTACATGATATGCGGATGAAGTGGGATAAGTGATGAAGTCCTATTGTGCAACCAAAATTAAAAAAAATGAATAAATGATAATAAAATATAAATTTTGAGTTTTATTCTTTTACTTTTAAATATATTTTAATTTTAAATACTAAATTACAATAAAATTTATAAGATAAAACTTTAAAATAAAATTAAATAAGATGATTTTTATATTTATTGATAATATTTCAATAATTATTATTTATTTATTAATATAAAATTTTATTTTTTAATTATATATTTAGTTTCAGAGTTCTAACTCTTTAACTATTAACCAATTAATTTTTTCTTTTATCTAACTAAAATTAAAAAAATAACTATTTATATTTAATAATTTTAATTATTCATTTATTTAACTGACCATTTACCCGGTCTTAAGCAAGATACCTTACTGGCTTGGATAGTTGGAAAGATCAATTTTTTACTTTTTTTTTTTTTTATTATGGGGATTGCTTTTGTATATCATTTTTTGATATAAGTTTCACATGTTATTAAATGAGTAAATGCATTCAATATTATGAGTCTCACAAAAATTAAAAGAATTAATTGTTTAAATAACATGTCAAATTATATCAAAAAGTAATAAAAAAGGTTATCTCAAAATTATTTTTTTTAGATTTATCATCATAAAAACATAAATTAAATGTGTAATTAATAATTTTTTATATTAATTAGTATAAAAAATGACAAAAACTAATACTAATTTTATCACCAATACTACATATATTATTTTTATTAAATAATTGATTAAACAAATATTAAATTTTATTCTTTCAATAACTATTAATATTAAAAAAATTTAATTTATACTTTAACAATACATGTTAAAAAATATGAATACAGATTTAAAAAAGGGGATTTAAAGTAAGCG